AATTGTAGCATCTGATGTTGTCGTTAAAGCACTGCTGACCCCAGAGCAGCTGTCAGGGAAGCAGGACAGTTGTAGTTGGAAGCTGGGTTGGCTCAGGTTTCCATTTCCAGGAAGCAGTGTCACAGGAGGTAGGACCTGGACTAGTGTCACACACCACTACACCAGACATCTATGTTGTTCACAGGAGGGTTGAGAAAAACATCCTTCTGGTTTCTCATTCGCAGTTAGCTCTGCTGTGTCCTCCTTAACAATTAAAAATGCTTTTTTATACATAGTACGGGTTGGTAAACCTTTCCTATAAGGTTCAGTGGCATTTTAGACTTTATGAGCTTCATGGTGTCTGTCACACTTTTCAAGCCCAAGTGTGAAAGCAATCACAGGAAAAACATGAATGGGCATGGTTTTGTTCAGTAAAACTGGCAGTGGGTAGAACTGGTCCACCGTGGCCAATTCTGTACACTTCTCTATGATCTGCTGTCCCAGATAAATCCACTAGATTTCTTATAGGCTTGCATGCAGATTACCCAATATGAAATTGCCATCACAGCAGTTCCAGACACCAGAGAAGCTTTACCAACCATTTTATTACTGTCTGTTCTTACTGCAGCTTCAGCAGAGGCCCCTGTTGCTCCTGTGGACTCTGAAACACTAACACTAAACAGCGGAACACTACAGGCATTTGAGATTCTTCCAGTGAGTAGTGCTTCATTTAGATTCTGACCATTTTTATGCATAAGATCAGTTGACATAATTTTTAGAGTACCCATCACATACTGCTTTGGCAACACCCTGAGGAGCACAGTCAGCCCCTGGGGACACAGAACTGTAATCTCAGCCCTGTAGGGGTTAGCTACTTTAAGAAAGTCTAATTTATAAAAAGCTTAAACACCATCAAACAATCTGCCATCTCTTATCTCAGGTATATCTGAGAGAAGTGGGAAAACCTGTCCACAGAAAAACCCAGGAAAGGCTGAGTGTGGAATTTGAGTCTTTCTGGAGGTTCCAGTGTGTGGTCATAATGATGGGGCAGCGGTAGCAGCTGCCACAGGAGCACAGTGCACACAGCCAGTGATGTGCCAGTGCTGTGTTGCTGTGACACACAAGACATCGGCGCTTGGCAGGTCTGCTTTCGGTGGGATTATCTCTACACAACTCACCTTAGTCAAAGAGCACCCCTGTGCATTTCCCACTTAGTTGAAACTAATGGGAGGATAGTAGTACCTTAGCTGCAAAAGACTGAAACTTAAACATATTTAAATGTATTAAGTAAAGCACACTCATTCATAATATAGGTAAAATTTCTGCAAATGGATTATTGCATGTGATAAATTATACATGTAGCCTTCAAGGAAATGATTAGCTTTCACTTCCCTGGAAAGGCCAGAGTGAGTCTTGACTGAGTGATAAGCACTTTCGTGGTCACTAATTCTGCAACCCTTTTCATGGGAGGTGATTATTACTCCATGGAACGAATAAGGAAATCTGTTCAGGGGTTTTAGTGTACAGATTTCAAAGGGTGACAGAAGCCCCACCTTAGGTGCAGATATTTTCTCTCAGTGGCTGGGGGTGAATCCAACTTAAATTCTCTAGAAGCTTGTAGTATGAAGTTTATTAGTGAATAATTTTGTCATGCTTTAGAATTTCAGAAGATAAATAAAATCAATTGGCTTTTCAGATAAGCATGATCTTCCTTCAGTAGAACATTGCTAATTGCTATTTTCATAAATTTTCCCGTAATACAAAAATTACTTCCTGAAATTATACTATTAAAAAATGTGTTCAGGTGAATAAACACTGCTGTTGTGCCTCTTCTGAAGCATAAAGTTTTCTTTTTTTAAACTGGGAGATGTCTAGTCTGCCATGCTGTAGACAGGAGTCAAGAATGGTGCTTGGCTGGGCTGGTTGACTGCCCATGCGTGAGGTACCCACAAATACATTCATAATATATATATGAGACCAGGCAGTGAAAAAACAGACTGCAAAGGGCAGGACAGGAGCCTCCTGTCCCGCCTCCCATCTGAGCAGTGGTATGAGCCGGAAGTAGTGCGCAGTCCACCCTTTATTACTTCTTTATCCCTTCAGGACTGGAGAGTCAGTTGTGGCCACTTGGCTGAAGTGGATCTGTGTTCACAGGCACAGGTGGCTCTCGTCATCTGTTGCTTGTGTTGCAGCGTCTCTGTGTCCTTTCCCTGTAGTCTTTCCATCTGCAGCCCACTGGCACACCTGGCACCTACTTGCTTCAGACAAGCTCAAGCCAAGGTCTTCCTCTGACTCTGGCCGCCAGCCCCACGGTAACCCTGACAGCTGCTGCTCCTGCTTCTCCCGAACAGATCATTGTTCATGCTTTATCCGTATGTTGCACAGTTTTCTTGATTTTTGAGTGCCAGTTACAGACTAGGGTTAGTTGAACAAAATACAAGCAGCAAAACTGGAAGTTTCACTGTCTAGAAATTCTTCCTGCCACTGTTGTGGCGGGAAGCCACAGCACCTTTCTCCTTTCACTGGGGTGTATCCCTAATCCCCTATTCCCTTTCTGTGAGATGGACATACACAGAGGTAGGAATTTAGGGGAGACAGGGCTGGGTGCTCAAGAACCATGGTGCTTCAAGTGATAAAACCATTGCGGTTTGGGGGAAAGGGGCAGGGGCTGGGGTCTGCCTGGCAAATGTTGTCTGTTGGGTAACTTCGGTAGTACCTCTTGCTTTCACCACTGACTGTTTCCTTTGATGCTTTGTAGCCAGAACACCTGTTAAACACAAGTGACAATGTCACGGTGCAGTGCCACACTCCTAGAGTCATCATCCAGACTGTTGCTACAGAGGACCTCACCTCTTCATTATCCCAGGCGGAGCTCACAGTAGACAGTGATATGCAGTCGTCTGATTTTCCAGATGCACTGGAAGCAGACACTTTCCCAGATGAGATTCATCACCCTAAGATGACTCTAGCACCATCATATAACGATGCTCATGTGTCCAAATTCAATGACCAAAATAGCACAGAACTGATGAACAGTGTTATGGTCAGAACAGAAGAGATCTCTGACTCCGACCTTAAGCAAGAAGTGTCCCCTTCTGATTTGACCGGTGCTTATGTTACTGAGGTAAGTCGTGCCTAGCAGAGCAGTCTGGACAGGCCTTAAGACATGCTCCAGGCAGGTCTCCAGTTTCTTTCTTTCTTTCTGTGGAGCCCCAGTGCAGAGCCTTAGCTCTGCTGCTCCAGTGTCACCAGTGGCTTAGCAGTGACATCACTAGCTGGAGTGGGTGGTCAAGGGAGTATGACACTGCCATTGTAGCACAACGCCTCATGTGACCTGTCCCTTCCACCAGGAGCTTGACAGGTCCTCCTTGAAACCCACTCCTGAGTGTCAGGGTTAGAGGGGGCTAGGCTTCAGCGTGTGACCTCATGTTCACGGCATTGCTTCCTCTACATGCAAGTGACCGACACTGGATTTGTGCTTTTAAGTTACTTTTCTTCTTTCTTTAAATTCCACTTAGGATTTAGAGTCTCCCACCATAGTAGAACAAGTTGATCATACAACAATTGATGATGAAACAATACTTATCGTTCCGTCACCACATGGCTTTATCCAGGCGTCTGATGTAATAGATGCTGAATCTGTCTTGCCTTTGACAACACTAACAGGTACCATAATACAGCTTGTATTAAATCTGATGGGAGAATCACAGTTATTTAATTTAGTTGTTTTAGTTTTGTTTTGTTTTTTTTGGTCCAACAGTAGACTTGGCAGTTAAATCTTACCCTTTGGTAAGACTGTTTAAATTCTTGGAATGGATTAGACAAAATGTATGTACACACAGATACGTGTGCATGCACTGAAAACTAACCTGAAGCTCAATTCTTCCAGATCCTATACTGCAGCACCATCAGGAAGAGTCGAACATCATTGGATCATCTTTGGGTAGTCCTGTTTCTGAAGACTCAAAGGATGTTGAGGACTTGGTGAACTGCCATTAGGTAATCTTAGACACAGGTAGTTCAGCAAAGAAGCCCATGCTGTTCATTACAGTTATCTCGAAGAAGCAGGAGCAGCCCCCAGGAGGCTAGTCCACCACTCCTCTGGCTTCTGAACAGCTGCCATGCTTAGCCATGCACATCACTGCTGCTACGACTTTTACCTCTGCCGTGTGTCCACCTGAGGTTGTTTATAACCTGTGTGGCCGAGTGGAGTGTGGATCCTGTGTTTTGTGTTACTTGTCAGGAGGGAATCTTATTCACTCCAGCTCCCAACAAGTTTTTCGTGTCACCAAAGCTAACTGCTCATCTCCATACATCAGATGTGACACTGTCCATCTCAAGCAGGCCTGAGTACATTTCAGGGACACCCTTCAGCGTGGCCTAAAGCGAGCTTATCTGTGACCTTCAGAAAGATTATGCAGGATTAGTTTGAGACTTGACTGGAGCCGGGAGGAGAGTGTGTGGCAGTGACTTCTGGGTAACCCATTGCTGGCAGTGGGAGCTGATGAGGCAGGGCAAAGCAGAATGCATTACAAAGTCCTGGGAAGTCACTGTGGTCTTAGGGCTTCCAGAGGGAATGAGGGTCAGGGGAGTAACAAAACCTACCAGCAGTTAAGCATCTTTGCCCCTCACACAAACCACTGTCTTCAGTTTACAGACTTAGCACTTTGAAGTAAAATGAAGCCGTGCTCGCTTCGGCAGCACGTATGCTGAAGGAACACTGAACCAGATGGAGACAGCGGTGACGGTGCCCATCCCTGATACCACGACCTTTAGGACATGTTTGCCATACAAATGACCTGGAACATAGCTCAAGAGGGGCTGAGAGTTTCCCATTCACTCAGTGCATTAGGTGGTAGGGGTACAATGTAACTTCTCTCAGGCAGTTTTAAAAAACAAAATTTGCTTCTGTAACAAAAGGAAAAAAATCAAGAGTCATTCCTACACTAGAGAAGGGTTAAGCCAAAAGTAGCCTCTTAGGGCTTAAGTGAATATGACCCCTATAGAAAAGTCACAAAAACTTGTATAAATTATTTTATTTATTATTGTAATTAGATCTTCACAATCAAAGTTGTCTTTTCACCGTCTGTGTTTTGTTAACGTGAAATTGTAGTTATATGCAAAAGTTGGTTGCCTAGGGAACAATTATTGTATATTCAGTTTAACAGAAATAAAGGAATATTTGTCTTAAAATGCAAGATTTTGAGCCTTTACCATGCAATTAAATCGTAAAAAATTTTAATTTCAAAAGTGAAAATCACTTGTGCTATTTGAGCTTTAAGGGTTGGAATGTTTTAAGTGCAATATCAGCTCCGTAAAGAAAAAGCAAAGATCTATGATATGTCTCCCTTGCAAGAGGCAGTTCAGCATTACAGTTCACAGAAGTCGCATGTCAGTCTTCTGTGGAGTGCAGGCCGCGCATCTGGCCTGGCAGTCTCTCCTGCCTTCACAGGCGGCTCTCGAGCGCCCTGGTCAGGGCTCCTCCTGGACAGCGTCACCTTCCCACGTCGTGGAAGTACAGGTTTGCACATACACACAGCATGGTGATTGAAAATAAGATATAGTAAATTAGACTTCTAAATTTCGGTTCTAAGTCTCCTTGTCGATACCAGTAGATCTAAAAGAAGAATCAGATTAAATTTTAGGTAACTGTTAAAACTTAAAACACAACTCATTCTTTTTGCATTAACTTCCATCAGTATTTCTGCAGATGAGACAGTCTTCGTATTAATCTTCATGCCTTCATTCAGGAGAGCAGAATTTAATTCTTATTTATAATTCAAGTAGTACTGCCTGAGAGTCCCCATCCCAAGGTGACACTTATTACTGCCTCCTCAGTTTACTTTCCTCTGTGTTTTAGCCAATTATTGGGCAAGCTCTCCGGGAATACATCTCCCAGTGTATCTGAGTAAATAATGTAAGTAACACTTTCAGTTTCTACTTAGAAGGGAGGAGGACGTGTAAGGTCTTTCATCAGTTCAGACTTTGGCAATATAAAACCGAGCTTGCATAATATTGTACATACTTAGTTTCAAGTAGCTCACTGTTGGTTATGCAGGTTTGGGGTAGAAGGTGGCAGGAAGGCTTCCAGGCTGGCATGGGCCAGTTCTTCAGGTTATAGGGGTGTAACACAGTGCAACTTTAGCCTGAATGAATTGAATTACTATGATTTAAGCCCTATGTGATTCAAAAGAATTTTAAGGGTTTAGTATTTTGATTCTGCCTTTTGAAGGTCAAAACAAAATAACTATTCGGTGACTGAACAATTGAAAAGCCTCCACCATCTTTGAGCAGAATACAACTGCCACTTTAACTTTCCTGGGAAAATCTGGCAAATTATCTACACTTGGGGAGGTTAGCACACAGGTTAAAACATACAGAACCAGAGTGTGATCTTCTCCCTGAAGAGCTCTAGTCAACTCTGTGCTGACAGTACTTGAGTGAATGTGATAAGTAAAGTACATCATATTTTCATCCTTTTGCTTTTTAGTTATCAAAAGAATAAAATTCTCCTTTAATGTTACAACTTTTGGAACTTAGGGGAAAAGAAGACGACTCTGATTCTGAAAAATAGTGTGCAACTAATTAAGAATTGTGTTGGGAAGGGAGGGTGTGAAAACCCCTCTGTGTAGACTCAGGCTGGGGCTCCCCTCTGTCCTGGGCACTGCCACCTGAGGCCCTCTAGCACACTGGGAATCCCAGGAGTACTCACGAGTATGCAGGCTGTGGCACTGCTCAGAGAGATGCAGACAGCAAAAAATACATTCAGTGGTTTGGGAGGGAGGTGAGGGAAAACAAAAGCACTGATCAGCGTTACCTGTGTGGAGAGAAGAGACAGGTCTTGAGAGGAGCTCCAGGATATGATCAGCCCGAATCTAGGCAAGACACTGCTGCAAAATGCTTCACATTATAAAGTCATATCCACCCCGGATTTGCTTTTTATATAATCTGTTTTCTTCTTTTCCAACCTTTCGTCCACACATGAAAGGAGACAAAATGTTGAAGGCCACATAAATGTCATTCCTAGGATAACTGTACAGAGAGGGCTAACCATCCTATTTTGAATACACCAAAAATGAATGTAATCAAAGTTGGTTTGTTTATTAAGTTTATGAAAAATACTGATGTTTCTATCACAGTTATAACATTACGCCCATTCTTTTTATTAGGTAAGGGCAGGGGATTAAAATTCATTCTCTTAAATAGTAATGAAAATGTCATTATCAGACTATGGAAGACATAACTGTTTACATTGTGATACATGACTTGATCATATTATACAGAATGAAAAGTTACTGCATGCTGATCAGATCTTTAAAAACTTGACCCAAGGGTAAACGTCAAGTAGTAACAAATAGGGAGTTACGGTGGGTCATAGCAGAAGGGATTGATGGGACCCACTAACATAGGGCAGGCAAACATGGTAAATTTGTCTGACTTACACTACTTTGTATATTCAACTGGGGACTGAAGTAGAAATCAGAATAGCTGCTTCACTTGCCAAATGCAGTTTTATAAAATCAAAAACATTGTGACTTTTTCTGAGGACTAACTGCACTGTAATAGTTTTCAAAACTGCAGTTAAGAGGTTGAGTGAAGTATGTAAGTTGAGCTACTTACTAGAATCAATAAACATGTGAAGCTGCCAACGACCAAATTGATGATTCGGTCCTGAAAGAGAAAAGTGTGTGAGGCACATGACTGGGACTCCTGGCAGCTACAGTAGGGCATGGAAGGACCACGCAACACTGCGCTCCTGAGCTCACACGCCACAGATGAGGGGCCGTGAAGTCAGAAACTGGGCCAATGGGGGGTGTTTCTTGGAGGGTCATGTGATTTACACGAATGGTGAGGACTGGGATTGCCAGGCCACAGCTTCAGAAAAGACCATCAGACACTGGACCACAATTGGGAGTGTGCACACCAGTAATCCAGCATTGGGGAGGCTGAGGTGGACAGCCTGGGCTACACAGCAGGACTGTCTAAAACAAAAAAAAAAAGACCACAGAGTGCCACGGCAGGATGCAATCCCAAAGACCTGTGCTTTTTTTTTTAAATTCATTTAATAGCAGAACCCTTCAACCGAGATTTGATTGAAAAACCTGTTCTACCTACCTACATTTCTCATTTTGATTCCCTACCCTAATGAACTTCACAGAATGTCTGAAAAGCTTCTGATCCAATCCCAGTTTTACAGGTTAAGGTACATTTAGGCCCACTGTGGTTAAATCATTTGCCAAAATCCACACAGCAAGTTTGAGAAGGAACTCTAAAACCAGGGGTTGCTAAGGTTAATAATAGGTTAATAAATCCTATAATAACAGTTACACAACTACAAAATAAGGTTTTTTAGATTTCATTAGGAAACATTTACGGCCACTGAAAATACCAGCCTTAATTCTACGAACTCAAAACCAAGTCTGATGAACCAACAGTCCTCACAGATTCTTTCGGTAACACTTTCTATAACAAGTAACCTGGTATGGAACATGAGGAGCCAGTAAACAAAACCTCAGGTGTGGGAGAGACATGTAGCCAGGGAACCCTCATTCCCAAATTGCTTTTCAGATAATCCAAAGACCTTGAGTCCCATAGGCAAAGTTGAATGGAATGGGGAGGATATAGAAAAGCCAAGTATTCGGTGTGCCTCACGTAGCCAAGGAAAACCAACTTTCAAGACCCAAGGCCACTGGAATTCAAAGGTTATGGGATAAAACCAACAGATCTGAACTACACCCATGTTACATTTAGAAGATCTTGTCACAAAAAAGTCTGAAATTAGGACTGTCTTAAAGATCCAAGGACAATTCTTCAATGGTAGTAAATTTATATACCAAATGAATAAATGTGGATAAATAGAAATGTGACATCAAATGTGCATAAAGATACTATCCATAGGACTTCCATTGCCTTTTGCCTTGTGGAAAGGCTTAGTTGTACTCCTCTGGTGTATTCTGAGATGCAAGAATCCCTGCTCTCTGAGCTCCAAGGAGTTGCACAAGTTTACAAAGGTCTGCATAGCTTAGCAGCACTCCCACCAGTAGAAGTGAGGCAGAGGTTCAGGTGGCTGGCCAACTTCCACACAGCATGGACAGCTGTCCAGCAGATCAAAGCAAGTGTTAAAGATAGCAGGAAAACAACAGTATGTATTCCCAGGCTTCCACATTCTCTTCATCTGACATGCAATAGAATGACTTTTACAGTTGGCAAAACAGGATCAGGGAAACAGAACTTAGCCAAGGGCTCATACACCAGTAAGTGAAGGAAATAAGTTGGTGTAAGCCCTGCTTTCCTCAAGAGAGCAAATCCCACTAGTATTCCTTGCGAGAACAATCTAGAATCTACCGCTTGCTGGTCTAGATTATGGATAGAGATTTACACATAGGTGGCTTTTTCTAAATTACTGAGTGACCACAGAAGCATAATCTTTCTGATAAAAATATCCAAACTTTAAGCTTGCTGCCTGCCTCCTAGGTTAAGTTATTATAATGTAGTTTGTCCTTCTGGGGCCCCAAGGTGAAGTGAACTATTCTGCATATGGCAGATTTGTTTCTCAGGACATTATTTTCTTGTTCTAAGCTCAAAGTTTGGCTTCAGGTCAACCACTGAGGACAGAAGTGTGAATCCAAACCAAAGGGGACTTGGTCTGGATGAAGTGAAGGAGGACCTCATTTTGAAAGAGGACCCTTCAAAGGAAGAAGGAAAAGAAGTATGGTTTATGAAGAGGGCCTCACCGAGACCCAGGGAAGCACACAAGTATTGCTGTTACCAAAGGAAACAGGGCAAATGGAAATGGCAGTACTAGCACACTCAAGGGGGACTGAGAGGACAAGCAGCAGGCAGGGCATGACGCGAGACCTGCCTAGGCCCAAAGAATCTCGGTCTTCCACTGAAATGAGGAAGAAGAAAAATCATATATGCTAATGGTTTGCCTTTGGTGGCAGAAAGTTACCCGTGAAGCAAAGAAAAACTAGATCATTCACTGTTGGGTCAATAAAACCCACTGATTCATGACAGCCATCTAGTTACCGAATGGCTAAAGCTTCCTATCCTATACTCTTTGCAAAATGCCAGCCAGGTGAACAGGTTGAAAAGTCTAAGAATCCTTTTAATAAAACATACAGACTTTAAAAATGCAGTCAGGAGACCAAGGTTATCTCACTATGGCACTGGCCATTTATGTACCCAGAAACTGAGTCTTTAACCCAAATGGGTCTATCAAATGAGGAAATTGGTCCAAATGATACCTGGGCAGGACTGAGCCTACCCAGGGAGGGATGTGGTCCCCAGAGCAACCTGCAACTCTGCCTGGTGAAGACTTGTGCAGCTCTGGACTGCCTCCTGTGGAGTGGAAGGGAATGTATTTGGGTTGTCTGCAGGAGTAGTTCTGCTCTGTTCCTCCTGAGAGTGCTGAAGGATGAGTCCCTCTGCTGGAGCTTGGAGATATGGGGTCTGGAAGTCACTGCTTGGTGCTGCCCTAGTGACAGCCTTGTGCTCCAGTGAGGAAGACCTAGGCTTCCCAAGTGCATTGTTGGTTTCTCCTTGGAAGCAGCAGCCTCGTCTGGGAGGCAGCCTGAGGTGCTGGGTCTCTGCCCAGCCAGAGAAGGACCCACAGCGTGGGACAGGGTGGTGGCTTTGGTTGTGCTATTGCTGCCTGTCCTGCAGCAGCAAGACCACATGCTGTCATGACAGGCCAGGCCTTGGACCTGTGGGAGTTGAAGACACTAAGGAAAAGTGGGCATTTCAGGCTCATGATTCTCTCATGTAGCCAGCGTCTACTTAGAGTGCAACAGTGTGCCTGACACAGGGAAGGAAAATACCCTGGCTTCGCATTGCCAGTCGTACTGGGGACCACATCCCACCCCGGGTAGGTTCAATCCTGCCCAGGTCATCATTCAGCTGCCAGACACCCACTGCCCTCCACCCCTGCAGCCCATGCCAAGGGTGCAAGCTATTAGTTGACCACTCAGTCCCCCGTGTACCTGGTTTCTTGCTGTAAGCCATCTCCAAATTCATCCCTTATACCCCTAAGGACTCATCACAGCTGCACTGGGCCAGGAGGACTGAGAGACCAGGGCATTCCCTGCCCTGGTCAGCTGGAGACAGACATTTCTGTCACATGCTCCATATTAGGTATGTGTGCCCTGGCAGTCTCATGCCAACCTCCTCCCCCTCTTCCTATCCACCTGTATGCCAAGTGCCTCCTCCTCTAACCTTCGACTTTTCCTTTCTACCAAAGCCTGGCCTGTACCACACCCATTGCAGTCTGTGACCCCTGAAGCTCTGACTCAAAGCCACCAGCAATCTGGCCACAGGCTTAATAGCATCCTGAATGTGTCAAAGAAGCTGGGTCTTTCCTTTCTGTAGGTGATGTAAAGGCAATACCATCCCTGGTGTGGCTCTGCTCTAGGAAGCTTCTATAAGCCATGGTGACAAAGGAATCAAAATGGGGCCAGGAAGGAAAGGACCTCAGCTGCCCAAGTAGAACCATCCTGCTCCACTCTTTGCTCCTGGCTCAGGCTTGCCCAGCACATGCTCGACACTTCACTTCCATTTCAGGAAGGCAGTGGCTATTTTCCCTCCCAAAGGAGACAGAAACAGGAAATGGAAAGCTCAAAGGGCACACCTTCCTGTGCTATCCTGGGGCTGAGGAATTCACACCCCTAGGCACATCCTATAATTTTGCCTCTCAAACTTTGCATTTCTCAAACTTTTGATACCACAAACTAGAGGCTGAGTTTCAAAAGTGAGTGCTTTTGTTCCTGCATGTCACAGAGGGACTCCATGTCCTACAAGCTCCCGGCTTGGCCCAGTGAGGAGCTGCAGATGTCTCCCCAAGGACACCTACCCTAGGGAGGGGATGTGAACTGCCCATGGGATTCACCTGGTTCCTTTCTTTGTGCTGTGCCCAGAGGCAAACGGGACAACAGCACAGGGTGGAAAGCAAGGAGGTCCCCGCCTCGCTGGCTGGCACAGGGCACAGTGAGCTAGGCCACAGGAATAATAGTTCCAAGGCTCCCAAACGTGTGCTGGGAATGGTGCCACAGCAGAGGCCGAGGTGAGGGCTACCCTACCAGCCCTTCTACTGCGAGCATCCTGTCTCTGCCTAGAGAGCTGACAGAGCCATCTGTCCCTTACTCACAGGCTTGCGTCCTGTGAGCATGCACATCCTGCCCCAACTGTCCTGAGATATGGAAATCACAATGGTGAAGGAGAAAGCAGCTCCAGAAACCACTGCTGCAGGAAGTGCCCTCACCCCAGCAGTCCAAGCTGCAGAGCCCTCGCCTGACTTACATCTCTTCCACCGGACTGCAGTCCTCGGTAAGTTGTTTTTCTCTCTCCTCTCATATACATGTGTGTGTGTGCCAGTATGTGTGTGTTACTAAGGACTGAATCCAGAGCCTTCACATTGAACTTCATCCCCACGCTTTAGTTTTTATTACAAGACAGAGTCTTGCCAAATTGCCTGAGTGGAACGCAGCCTCCCAAAGTGTTGGTATTACAGGTGTGAGCCACCACACCTAGCTTCGTTTAATGCTGCAGTCTTCGCTTCTATGTGTAATGAGGGCAGTGGCAGAAGCAGGGAGGGGAAAGGACACAGAAAGCCCCGATAACAGGGTCGGCTTTTACTGCCTGGAAATGTCAGTAGTTTCTACTGCATGTGATGGAGATAAGCTCACAGAGCTGAAAGGGCAGCTAAGCAGCACCTGTGTCTGGCCCCAAATCTGCACCAACCCCCATGGAAAGGGCTGCCATCCTCCCCGCTTGTCACGCTCATACCCTATGGCAGCTCAGAAACATGGTCCCAGTTAGGGTTCAGATCAAAAGTGTGACCTAAACACGTATTCAGGGGTGGAAGCTTTGTTAGGGAGGTTCTGGCAGGGGACTTCTGAAGTGATCTTGTGGGCAGACCCAAGTCTCACATGTGCCAGGGAAGCAAGTTACCACTGAGCTGTGTCCCCAGCCCAAGGCAGGGCTGTGTGAAGGTGACTGACTGGATCATGGGTCAATGGATTCACCCACGATGAGGTCACAGCTGGACACACAGCTGGTGGGGCCCAGGACAGGAAGGCAGCCACTAGCAGAAAGCCTGTGAAGGGTATGTTTCTTTGGCCATCCTGAGATGAACAGCCTTCCTTACCGTGATGCTCCTACCCCAATCAGCCAACCACATGCTGAGCCTCTGACTCAACAGCCAAAATAACCCTTTCCTCTTCACTGTTCTGTATGCTGGTATTTCAGCCAGTGATCACTGTACCTGGACATGGATATAGACTGATCATAAGGAAAGCAACTTAACCTAGTAGACCAACCAAGGCCCACAGCCTGGTGAACACTGAATCTTTTAGACTTTATGCTCCTGAGGGCCAGGCCACTTTGTGGTTCTGCAACTCACCCCCAGCCACACGGCGCTTCCCAGCTTGCTACACACAGCTCACAGGAAGGAGCAGCAAGGATGCCTCTCACTGCTTGAGCGCTCACTTCAGACACCACTTCCTGTTTTGACAGCCAGGGTTCCTCGGCTTCTGAACTCTGGCTCCGCCTCTGTTGCCCCAGAAGGCCCTGAGACTGCAGGCTGCCTTTTGGGGATGCTACATTCTCACTTCCCTTAAGCTTGACACACATAAAAATCACAAGCTGGGGAGGCCACAGGATGAGGGCGCTGCTTCCACAAGCAGTGCAGACCTGTACTGGGCCACACGAGCACAGAGGGCTAGGCCTGCAGGGCAAGTGTGGGCAGAGGCTTGGGCGTGCGTGAAAGACTCTAAAGTGGAGGACCTGCTTGAGCAGGGTGAGCTAGTACCCTCCACTGCCACAGCCACACGGCAGAACTGTCCACATGGCCCGTGCAGACCACAATGACCCAAGCCATGCACAGAGGAGGGAGGAGAGAAAGTCCTGCACCTGCCTGATGACATGACTTCTCCAGCATAAGACACTAAACTCCTGGGTGGGCTGTACTGGAGGAGAGACACACTCCCCCTGCTGGGGCCACGCACCAGCCTCTAAGGAGACAACCATTGCACTCAGGAGCCACTGAGTCACAGTGAAAGTAAACTGACTGCAGGGGCTGTTACAACTTTGAGAAGTCCTATGGCCCAGCAAAGCTTCACAAGCCCCACTCTCCATCCCAACAGCAACTCACCCACACAGGGCGCTGTGGGAAGCACCAGTGCAGCACCGGCCCTGGGGTCACAACATCTGGTGTGGCGCTCAGACTGAAGAGGGTCATCCACATGATACATGCTGTATTGCAAAGGCTCAGTGCCACAAAAGTACAAGTATCTCAACTTTTACATGAAACATTATATGGGTATGTTGAAATGATGACTACATGGAGTTTAATAAAGTCTTATAATTAATTTAGGCTTTACAATTTCTTCATATTTTAACAAGGCTACTAATTCCATATATGGTTCACATTATACTTCTACCAGGTAACGCTAGCCTAGCAAACACTAAGGAACACTGTGGGCTTAGAAACCTCAAACATTTCTTATTTTCTTGGTTTCTGTACCAATTTGTTTTCTGTCTGAAAGAAGTGTCCCAGTGTGCCAAACCTGGGAACCGTGTCACCACAAGCAAACCACCCTGACTAGGACTCAACATTGTCATCTCAACAGCACCAAGGTACGCAGGAGACGTTTTCCTGCAGGGGATGAACGCCTCACCTTTTTGTCAAGAGTCACTTAGACATTTATGTCACACTGCCTGTCACTGGCCACATCTGAGAGCTGTCACATCTAAGCCTCATGCTGAAGCCCAAGTCACCACGTGCATACAGGACAGGGAAGAAAATTCCTGCACCACAGCCACCAGGCAGCTCCTGCCCGCAGGCCAGGGGCCTGGAGCTAGCCCTTACCACCACCGCGGAGCGGGGGGAGGGGGTGTAATGTGATTTCCAAGAAGCACTGGCCCAGGCCTTAGAAATCAGTTACTCTTTAACTCACTGTTCACTCACAGAAGAGAGTGGATGTTACCAGGGAGAACCAGGCTGCCAAGGGACAAGCACTCTCATGCTGCTTTCTTCCCTCCACAACAGCAGTAGTGTCTTACAAAGGGGACTTGGCAGCCAGCACCAGGAAACATTACTCTTCAAATCCCTCTTCTCTCCGCTTCGATGCCCATCGCCCTAAAGTCAGGAGTACGCCTAAAACCGGGAGGCCACACGTTGTAGCCATAAAGCAAATGCAATTCTAGAAAGCTCAAGTCTGGAGGGTGACGGCAAGTGCCTTCCCTTCTGTTTCCTCCACAAACATTCACTCCTACAAGTTTCCAAGCCAAGTGGCTACTGGGTAGGATTCCTAAGCATAGGAAAAAGCAAGTCCTCAAGTCACTGCGCAGTGTCTCAGGGTCCCCACGAGAGCCCCAGCCCTGCTGGCATCACTCTCCCTGCTTATGGGGCCCTATTCCTGTGCCTGGCCCATCTCGGGCCCTCGGAAAAAAGCTTCATTTGCTGTAAAAAAAAAAAAAAAAAAAAAAAAAAAGACGGATGCTTCTTCAGATCTGGCCCTCAATGTGCTGGAAGCACATGTCTTCTCCCACCTCAGACCTAGGTCGCTCTCCTTTCTCTACCTACGGAATCCCCCAAATGACCCTGCCATTTTCACAGAGCGAGCTATGGGGCATAATTTGGAGAGATCTGGAGTTATATAGCATTAGTATACATTCTTCACATTTCCTCTGATTAGCAGACTCCACTATTATAATGCCGCGAAGCTGCGTAAGTAAGGCACACTCGGACTGCACAAGCTGCAATGTTAAGAGACGTATTTGGATTCGCAAAGTTCCAGGAAGGGTTCCGAATTGACTGCCGGCCACAGGCAACTCCTGGGCGCGGTGCACCGCCCCGGCCGTGCTGCAGACCTCCCAGCATCGCTCAGGCTCTGTCCGTGGTCTTTTGGGGCGGGTATCACTGCTCCTGGCTTGTCTTGGGCTCCGGGTGCTGAGTGGCGGCTGTGCCCCGGCTCCCAGCTCCCCCACGTCGGATCGGAGGACGTCGGGATCTGTGCCCCAGACTACCAGCTTGGGCCGCACCGCCGCAAAAACTTCCTGCTCATCTCCGAGCCCGAACCGCCCTCTGGGACGGAGCCGGGACCGCCCGTGAAGGCCGCTGGCGCCAGGCCGTGCGCCCGGCTCCCCGCGTAACGGACCTGAACTCCCGCGCAGGCCGCGGCCCGGCCCGACCCGGCTCACCCGCGCCGACGTCTCCCCGAACAGCGGCCTGTGGTCCGGCGCGCTCGTGCCATAGGTCCGCGCCGAGAAGCCCCCCTCCATGTCAGGCCACGCTCCGCGTCCTGCCGGCGACCCGGCCGGCGTCACCACGCGCGTCCCGTCCTCTGCCGCGTGCCGCGCGGCCGGGCGCAATCTCGCTGCTCACTCGCGGCCGCGACCCCGCGCGCCGGCCCCGCCCACTCCCCGCCCGCCGCCAAGCTCGGGCCCCGCCCACCGCCTGCCCCCGCCCACCTCCCGCGCGTCACGACAGCTGCAGGGTGCCGCCGGTGCCTCACCGAGCCGCCTCACGGAGCCGCCTCACCGTCCCCGGTCGGAGCTGCAGTACTGCCCCGCGGCGCACGGGGTTGGCCGCTGCCCGGTACAGCGTGCCTGCCCGAGGCGGGGTCCGCACCGCGCTAGGCAGAGCCACGTCGTGACGGAACCTCGCGAGGGGGTCTGGAGAAGCACTGGGCACGGAGCGCGGCTCGCACCCCAGGACTCGGAGCGGCACGCGGGACACTTCCGGGTGGACCTCGCCCCGCGCGTCCCAGGTTCTGACTCTGAGACTGGCGGCTCACTGAGCGCTGACGTGCGCAGGCCGGGCTCGAACTTCTTGCCTCTGCCTCAGCCTCCTACCGCTCCGGGAGTCACCACACTGGCCTGTGCTGGGGACTTAAGACAATATGAAGGCTTTTCAGACCAAAAAGAAAGCTCAGCTTGGATAGGGAATCCCGGGCGGGCGGCGGGCGGCGGGCGGCTGTGCAGGGCAGCCCCCTCCGCGAGCCCGGGACTGGACGGCCTCACCCCAGCTTCTGCCTCTCCGAGCGCGCCAGCTGTTCCCTCCCCCATTCTGCACCCAGGCGTTCCCCACCCTGCCACCCTGCGCCCCGCGCTCCATTCCCTTCTGCCCTGCAGAGCGTGTTTCTCTGGACTAGGCCTCCAACACAGCGCCTGGCTGCTGCCGCACCCTCCACCTGTCCCCACCCCAGGTTCCAATGTCCAGCCCTCTCAGCCTCTCAGTGGAGAAAGGGGCACATTTACTTTAACTCTTGGGGATTTTGGCCATTGAGATTACAGACTGGGGGAGTTGGGTTGGGTCACAGTGTGGAGTCTCCTGAACCCTGCTGGAGTGGAAGGCGGAAGGTGAGCAAATCCAGGTGAAGGCCAGGCATGAGGACTGAGACTCAGCTTTGCAGTTGGTCACCTCTGCCCTCAAACCCAGCACCACCATGCACTGGCTGTGTGGCTTGCACAAATTTTCTCACCTCTAGATCTTAAAATCCACTTAATGGTGAGTGACCACATGCTGGCTGTCATAAAAGGTGAGGAGGGCCTTAGGAAGTGGGCACTGTAAGTACTGTGGGGTCCGTGGAGACTGCTACTTGCTTCTGGAGGCAGGGAGCTCCCTGGCGAGACTTCTACGTGGAGACCCTAGGGAAGAGGCCAGCCAGGAAGTGGGCCACACAGCATAGTGATTCATTCGTTATCCATGGGCACCCAGACATGACAAGTACATACCAGGCCTCGGCCCAAGTCGTGACACAGCTTCTCAGTCCGTTGGATCCAGTGAGCCCTGAAAGTCTGTTTTAAGGAGGTGCCTACCTGCATGTCCCCAGAAGCCCGAACCTAAGATCCTGCCAGACCTCAGCCCGAACTCCCCGTTCTGCAGGGCACAGCAGTGCAGGTACAGAGTCCTGCAGCAACCACAGGGCAAGCTTCAGCCAAGGGTGGTCATGGACAGGTTGGGGGTCGTTGGTATGGAGATGTGAGTGCTGGGAACCCCTGAGGCTGATGCCTTGAGTTGGTGGGAGTTAGGCAGCAGGTGAATGCTTTCCTCTTCAGTTAGCAGATGGCCCAGTCCCCATAGTTAAAGGCAGACTGAATTGCACAGCAAGACTTTGTCTTAAAATGCAAGAAACAAACAGCCACCAAAGAGCAAATCATATGAAAGAATAAATATCACGTTCTTGAGGGAAAGGATAACAGTATAGCAGCTGAGGTTATTCTCATTTCTCCCTAAACTTTCTTAAGAAATGTAGTGGAAGCCAGGTGAGGTGCTGCACACCTGTAATCCCAGCTATTTGAGAGACTGAGGCAGGAGCAAATCAAGGCTAGTCTGGACAACCTGGTGAGACTTTTCCTCAAGGGTGTGAGGATGCTGGGGGTGCAGCTCAGTGGTAGAGCATCCCAGGTTCAACCCCTAGTGCTGAATTTAAAAATAAAGGAAAATCATAGTCAAAACTTGACAAAGTAGTTACCTGTACTTGAAACTTTATTTTCAAACTCTTAACTCATGAACTTTTTGTTTCACTTTGTTTGCTTTTTGAGACAGGGTCTCACTGGTGATTCTCCTGCTTGGCCTCACTGGGGCTGGCACTCCATCTCTGCTGTTTACCTGCTGAAGAAACTGCTCATATTCAAGAAAATTGGTTAAATGAACAGTTTAAAATCTAGTTGTTCTGTGCAAACTGCAGCTCCAGGCTGAGCCTGGCACCCCAGTGCCTTTGGAGACACTGGGTTCAGCATCAGGGTGCAACAGGTTGTAAAATTCTAGATGTTGCCTTTTACCTGGGGTTCAGCCCAGTGCACAGTGGCTGCAGTGTACTTCCTTGGCCTTGCCTTCCTCTGTACCCCCAGACCCAGGGCCTTTCCTTGGGGGTCACTGGTAGAAGGAGACCCTGGCCTGTGTGGGTTGTAGGTCTTCCTACTTGTGGGCCTTGTGGAAATGGAGGGAGCCCAGGGCCTGCTGCCCAGTTGATATCGGTACTGGCGTCATGGTCTTAGTTGTGTCCTAGGTCTCCTGGGCTCTGTGTGTCAGTGTCAGGATTCTGGGAACAGTGAGCAGCTCCTCCATTGTTCCCACTGTGCATTGGCACCACTGCCAGCCCGCCCAGTGGCCTGGCACCTTCTCTCAGCTGGGCTGGGCAGGTGTAATAGCACTGGCTGGTGGAGAATCGCCTGTCCTGCAGCCGCCGTAGAGCCCACTGCCCAGCATCTGTGCTTCTGTTCCTGACTCACCTCACAGATCCCTTCCCACCACTTGGCCTCCTGTTGCCCACCTGTCTTCTACTGCAACCACCACCAGCTGCTGTGATTTCCAGTGCAAATTCCGGAGCTGGGTCCCTGGATGGGTGGGGATGTTTGTATCTGGCCTTTGATGGGGAGATTGAGCCCCTCACTGGAGCCAGATGCTCACTCTGGGTAGCTGGGCTATCGCCACAACCCTGCCCATGGGGCCTAGTGCCCCCTCGTGGATGCTGTGACATTGCAAGGACCATGGCTTTTTCTGGGATAACTTTCAAATCAAGGCTTGTGCACTGGGGATACAGCTCAGCTGCACAGTGCCTACCTGGCAAGTACAAGGTCCTGAGTTCAATTTCTGGTATCAATAATAATAATAATAATAATAATAATACTTTTAAATTCAGGGTGAAATCAGGGAAAGGCTGACAGCCTGAGAATTTTAAAGATGGAGTTTGTTTCTGAGTGTGTGTGTGTGTGTGTGTAAAGCATTGTGGACACTACCTGCACCACCTGACAAGAGCTTGTCTTGAGTGTAGAGAGCCAGCCCAGCCACACTGGGGGAGCAGCTCACCTGCAGCATTTCACTTATAGGCAAGGTCACAATGGAACATGGTTTTATGTTTTCATATAGGTCTTGTTAGATGCGTTCGAAAGATCTTGTTCTGAACACAGTGCAGCGCAGTTGTGCACTGCAACCGGAGTGATTGCACAGTGTCTGTGTAAATGCGCTGGGATGCCTCTGGCCTGTGGCTGTCTCTCCTTTCTTCTCCATAACACTCATGGAGTGGAACACATCCTGCCAGGAAGAGTAGCTTGGGTAATAATGGATACACTCACATGACAGTGTCCCCCAAAAGACATAGACACGCAGCCCCAGGCCTGCTGGACATCGCAATATGACCTTGTCCTTACTGCTGCTGAGGCTGAAGAGTCTGGAGTGGATGTGGGGTGGCACTGATACAGCCCAGCACTCCTGTGCTGGCAGTGGGACTGGGTGGCTGACTCTAGGAGTTGCAGCTCCCATTGAGGGCCTGGCTTGGTATGACCACACTGCCTCATATACAGTGCATCGTAAGTGAGTCAGGGTGAGTTAACCATCAAATATCTGGACGCAGTAGGGGCTCAGTTACATGGTAGTAATCCTTGTTATTTGATGTCCCCAATTTTGCATCATTACTAGTCAAAATATCGATTCAGTAAACACCTCGAGTAAAATCTTTGGAAACAGACTTTGTGAAGCCTACTTGTGGAAATATATGTATATTTTTAAGGTTTATGAGAAATTAGTCAACCACTTAAAGAGGATCTTCTACCATCAGTGTTTTGAGAGCCCATTTCTTCAAACTAGTTGACACAGATGTTGTGATTGATTGGCTAATTTTTGCTTCATGAGGCAGAGTCTCACTATGTAGTTAGGGCTGGAGCTGAACTCACTGCATAGTCCATGTTGACCCCAAACTTTCGACGGTTCTCCTACCTCAGCTTCCTGAGTGCTGGGATTACAGGTATACACCATTATGGCAGGCAACACTGGATTTTATGACAATCATTTGATTTGGGAATAGTGATAGTACTATATAGGTTTTCTTCTCTTTGATCACTAGAAGGGCAACAATTATGTTCAAGTCCCCTTAGATCAATCTAAGAGGTTAGTTACTGCCACGGGGACCATTTTCAGGTTAGCCTGTGCTGGGAACAGAACACAGGCAAATGTTTGACCACTAGAGTACAATGCCAGCCTTTTCATTTTTGTTTTGAGACAGGGTCTCTGAGTTACCCAGGCTGGGCTGGAAATCTCAATCCTTCTGCCCCATGGTCCTGAGTGGCTGGGGCTGCAGGCCTGCGCCCCACATCTGCCAAGGCTCTGTCACCCTGTCATGTTGTTCATCTTACTCCAATTGAGTATCGCAGATACCACCTTTGAGCCCTGCAGAGAATTTCAGGGCAGAATTACCTGATAGTCCGAGAAAGAAGATGGTCAGATTGATCTATACCTTGCCGTTTCAGATGGCCTGGGTATCCTTCCTTTGTGCTTCTGAGAATTAGATGGTTATGTGAGAACATTTAATGTTCCTTTTTTATTATTGCTTTTTCTTGGTGTTTACATGTCAAAATGTTCCTTTCTTAAAGAAAAAAAATCATTTTCATATCTTCCACAAAGTGTCCT